CGAAAGAAGCTCCCGTGGTAAAACCAACAGAGCCAAGACAACATCTAGACCGCAATGTTAGCCAAGGTAGAAAGCCGGCCACGTTCACCATAAATGGTCAAGGCTCGGCGCCCAAACCTTGGTATAAATGGACGAAAGACACCGACGACGTTGCAACAGGGACAGTGTATTGCGAGTATCATAAAAGCAAGGCCCACGCGACGGAGGACTGCCGCTACCTGCAAGGGCTCCTCATGGCTAAGTACAAGAGCGGCCGCATCGCAATCGAATGCGACCGCGCCCAAGGGAGTAATAAAAACCAAAGACGGAACGAGGCCACTGCTCGGCAATTCCTTTAAGATCGAGCCGACGGAGCAGCTGGAGGCGACGATCAAGCAAACGACCCGGCCAAAAGACAGCGCCAAGGCAAAGCAGTCGCTGATGATCCCAACGTCGTCCGACAAATTCACATGATCATGGGCGGCCTCCAAAATTGCAACGATTCGGTCCGTTCAATCAAGCAGTATTGAAAGAAAGCCGAAATGATGGAGACGTGGCCGGTAACGCCAAGCCAACCTTCCGAGGAGATCGAACCCATTTCTTTCACAAAAGAAGACCTCGTCAGAATCGACCTTCGTCACAACGACCCCCTGGTCGTCGAGCTCATCGTCAGTGACAGCCGACTCACACGCGTCATGATCGATACGGGCAGCTCAGTCGACCTAATTTTTAAAGATACTCTCACCGCGATGAATGTAGCCCACGTTCGTTGGTGGTACGATCGCCTGGGTGAAATTCGTTGTCATCGATAAACCGGCGATATATAATGTAATCTTAGGGACGCCGGGGCTTCATCAAATGCAGGCCGTCGCATCTACTTACCACCAATGCGTCAAGTTTCCCACTCATCAAGGAATCTTCACTCTCAAAGGAAATCAGCAAATAGCGCGAACGTGTTTCCTGATCAAACACAAGAACCGCGCCGAAAAGAAGTTATAACAACCAAAGAGAGAGGAGCCCGCGCCCAGCCCCGAAATAGTAAAAGCGCCGGGCAAATCCTATGAAGAATCAGAGCTAAACCGAACAGAACTTGTGAATATTGACGCGTCGGATCCACTACGATGTGTTAGTATCGGAGCTAAAATTAGTCCAGAAATCAAAACGTCCCTTGTAGTCCTCCTCAAAGGGAATTCGTCGACCTTCGCTTAGAGCGTCGAAGACATGCCAGGAATCGACCCCTCGATAACGTCTCACGAGCTAGGCGTGGATCCAACATTCAAGCCTATCAAGCTGAAAAGACGCAAACTGGGTCCGGAACGAGCCAAAGCAGTAAATGACGAAGTCGAAAAGCTGCTAGGCGCTGGCTCCATCATCGAAGTCCGATATCCAGAATGGTTGGCGAATCCCGTCGTATTAAAAAAGAAGAACGGCAAATGGCGGGTGTGCGTCGACTTCACCGATCTAAACAAAGCGTGTCCAAAGGATAGCTACCCTTTGCCACACATCGACCGGCTAGTTAAAGCCACCGCAGGGAACGAGCTCTTATCGTTCATGGACGCCTTCTCTGGATACAACCAAATTCTCATGCACAAAGACGATCAGGAAAAGACATCCTTCATCACTGATCGGGGAACGTATTGCTATAAGGTGATGCCTTTTGGTCTGAAAAATGCCGGAGCAACGTACCAACGCCTCGTCAATAAAATGTTCGCCGAACAGCTCGGTCGAACTGTCGAAGTCTACATTGACGACATGCTCGTAAAGTCTCTTAAAGGAGACGACCACGTTCAGAACCTCCGACAATGCTTCGACGTGCTAAACAAATACCAAATGAAGTTGAACCCAGCCAAATGTACGTTTGCGGTAACTTCCGGTGAGTTCCTGGGTTACGTCGTCACCAAGAGAGGTATAGAAGCCAACCCGAAGTAAATTCGCGCTATACTGGAGTTACCCTCTCCCAGAAACGCCAAGGAAGTACAACGGCTGACAGGCCGGATCGCGGCCCTCAACCGATTCATCTCGAGGTCGACGGATAAGTATTTACCGTTCTAAAACCTCCTAAAGCGGAGAGACAAGTTTACCTGGGACGACGTAAGTGAAAAGGCATTCGCCGAGCTTAAGACGTATCTGACGACACCACCAGTACTCGCAAAACCTGAAAACGGCGAAACTTTATTCTTATACATAGCTGTATCCAGTTGGGCCGTCAGTGGGGTATTAGTACGAGACGACCGCGGCGAACAGAGGCCAATCTTCTACGTAAGTAAATCGCTAATCGAGGCCGAGGTCCGCTATCCTACAATGGAAAAGGCCGCGCTAGCAGTCGTTACGTCGGCGAGGAAGCTGCGTCCCTATTTCCAGTCCCATACCGTAGCAGTTCTCACGAACCAGCCCATTAAAGCCGCATTGCACAGTCCTAGCCTATCAGGAAGAAAGACCAAGTGGGCCGTCGAGCTCAGCGAATACGACATCGACTTCCGGGCTCAGTCAGCCATGAAATCCCAGGTTCTCGCCGACTTCATCGTCGAACTACCGTCACTAACAGCGGATTCGAATGACACCTCGCCAAACACCGGTCAGACGAATGGAACTTGGACCCTCTATTCTGACGGATCGTCCTCTTCACATGGGTCAGGTGTCGTCATCAGGCTCGTTTCTCCAACCGGAGAAATGTTAGAACAATCCTTCAGATTACGTTTCACGGCCACAAACAATGTCGCCGAGTACGAGGCACTCATCGCTGGACTCCGACTCGCGATTGGAATGAACATCTGATGGCTCCGAGCCATGATCGATTCATAGCTCGTAGCAAGCCAATACATCAGTGACTACGAAGCCAGAAACGATAGAATGGACGCCTACCTCAAGGTCGTCCAACTCCTGTCTAAACAATTCACGGAGTTTGAGTTAAGCAAGATACCACGAGGAGATAACGCTCCAGCAGATGCGCTAGCAGCGCTAGCCTCGACGTCCAACCCGGACCTTCGCCGCATGATACCAGTCGAAAGCATCGACCACCCCAGCATCGAAGGAGTCGAGTCCGTCAATTTTGTGTGCAGCCGTGCCGCACCATATCCGATAAGCAATCCCGACGATTGGCGCCTCGAAATACACGACTTCCTATCAAATGGGACGGTTTCGGTGGATAAATGGGAAGCCCGGCGGTTACGCGCCAAAGCGTCAAGATATACGCTGTACCACGAACACTTACTTCGGTACAATGCCTCCGGGGCAGTACTCAGCTGCCTCCATAAGGCAGACGCGGCAGAAGTCATGAAGGAGACACACGAGGGAGCAGGTGGAAACCATTCAGGAGGACGATCTCTCGCAGTCAAAATCAGAAAGCTCGGCTACTACTGGCCGACGATGATCTCGGATTGTAAAAACTACATACTCAAGTACGAGCAATGCAAACGGCACGCCCCCGTCATCCACCAGCCAACCGAACTAATGAAAGCTGGAGCTGCACCATATCATTTCATGCGGTGGGCCATGGACATCGTCGGTCCACTTCCAGCTTCGCGGCAAAAACGTTTCATCCTCGTCATGACTGACTACTTCACCAAGTGGGTCGAAGCTGAATCCTATGCAATGATCAAAGCCAAAGACGTACAGAACTTCGTTTGGAAATACATCTTCTGTCGGCACGGCCTACCGTACGAAATAATCATGGACAACGGCTCGCAGTTTATTTCACTGCAGTTCGAAGATTTCTGTGCTAGCTGGAAAATCCGTCTGAACAAGTCAACACCGCGTTACCCCCAAGGCAACGGCCAGGCTGAAGCAACAAACAAGACAATACTAGCAGGACTCAAGAAACGACTCGAAGCCAAGAAAGGAGTCTGGGCACACGAGTTCTACGGTGTCCTGTGGTCTTATCGAACGACCCCGCGCAGCGCTACCGAATATATGCCTTTCTCCTTAGCTTATGGAATGGAAGCAATGGCCCCAGCCGAGGTAGGATGTGCGAGCCTCCGTCGCTCCATAATGGTACAGGATAACAACCTCAACGACGAGATGATGAGACACAGCCTCGACGATCTAGAAGAAAACCGCAACGCCGCACTATGTCGAATCCAGAATTATCAGCTCGCCGCTGCAAAGTACTACAACAAGAAAGTCCATAATCGGAATTTTGTCGAAGGCGACCTTATCCTCAGAAAAGTGTTCGAAAACACGGCCAAACTCAACGCCGGGAAGCTCGGCGCAAATTGGGAAGGTCCCTATCAGATATCGAAGATCGTCCGACCCGGAGACTATGAGCTCCTCACAATGTCCGGCGTCGAAGTCCCCCGCACATGGAATTCGATGCACCTGAAGCGATACTATTACCAAAAAAAAAAAAAAAAAAAAGAGCTCGGCCTTACCGACGCCTCACTATGTAATGTGAACTACGAGCGGCTTGATCCCTCCGATCAGAGGGTACGTAGGCAGCCTCGTTTACGAGGCACAGCTGCAAATATTAATAAAATCTATCTTTCTAAAGACAAACGAAACGAAATACATTAGCACCCTGGCCCGGTGTCTAATCGAACGAAAGCCGAGTTCCGTACTCGCATAATCAAAACGACTGATCGCGTAAGCCAAGGTTGAACTCGCAGTCACGCCCGTTTTAATCATTCGAACAGGATAAGCCGACCCCGGAGGTCGCACCTATAAATGTTTTGGGCCCGACCCAAACACGATTATCGGCCAAGTTATTGAGGTCTCCCTCAATAACTTGTGCAGTACGACCTCGAAGGTCGTACTACCGAGTGTTTTGGACCCGTCCCAAACACGATTATCGACCAAGTTATTGAGGTCGTCCTCAATAACTTGCGCGGTACGTCCTCGAAGGTCGTATCACCGAGTGTCTTGGGCCCGACCCAAAGGTTGAAGCACATAAAGACCGACCTCAACAGTATACGCACAATAATAAAACATTAAAATATTTGATAAAAAGCCAACAAAAGTGGCGAAGAGTCTTACAAAAGGCCGACTACGCGGCAGATAACTTAAAAACCAAAACAACAACATAAGTCTCAAGACGCGGCCTCATCTTGAGGAAGATCTTCGACCTGGACACTTCCGTCGCCAGCAACCGGATCCGCAATGACTTGATCTACGGCGTCCGCATCAACAGCAATCCCTTTATCAGCATTAATAACGGAGGGAGTAAATTCTTCGACGACAAGATGATCCTTGAAGAAAGTCCGAACATCAGCCCAACCTTCTTCAAGGTCGGCAAATTCGAACGCGTTCACCTCATTCTTAAGATCCTCCACATCGGGCTCGAGTCTCTCGATTACGTCCTTGAAGTTTAGGACGATCTCCCCAGACTCAGCCAGCGTCTTCAGCAGATTCACGCTCCCGGTAGCTTGATTGTAATCAAGAAATTTGGGATGCGCCGCGTCCCTAGTGGTGAAGTGCCTCTGGATCCCGTCAAGACGTTGCTGGAACTGGTCAGCAGCCTCCTTGAGAGCCTTGGTTATGTGGATGCGAGCATATTCGGTACGCCGCTCCCGAAGCCTTGCTTCCTCGGCCTGCGACTGCTCAGCATAATGCTTGAAGTCGACTCGGGACTTTGACAACTCTTTGAGACAGCGCTCTCGTTCTAAGAGAGCATTATCTCGTTCTTCCTTCAATCTGGCGACCTCCTCGCGAAGAAGCTGCACCTCGGAGATAGCACTCTCCAGGCCCTTCGATGCCTGATCGGCCCTTTTCGTCTCGGCCGCCAAGGCTCTCTGGTACTCCTTCGAAGCCGTGTTCTGTTCAGCAATAACGCGAAGGCGACGCTCGTACATGTACGCCATCCAGTCAATCGCGGTAACGGCCTACAGAAGTCAGGGCTCGGTCAGGAAGCGAAACACTTAATAACAGAGTAAAGCAAAAAATTCCTAAGACATTACCGCAACGGTCTTCTTCGCGGCGTCAGTAAACGCCGTCCTCTCGTACATATCTTAGAGTTCAAAAAAAGGAGACGGACCGACATGGATCTTGCGGAACAGCTCCGCACAGGACGTAGAGTCGGTCGAAATATGGACATCGCGCCCGCCATAATCATACTGCCAGCGGTAGTCCGGGGCCCAGGCCGTCCTCTGCTTCTTGGCCGGGTCCGAGCACGTCGTTTCGGACTCATCCGCAGCCCATTTCCGGGTAGGCTCAGCCTGAGAATCGTCGTACAGGACGACCTCCCTGCCACCTGAAGGTATATCCCGAGAAGTCTCGGTAACAGGCAGATTAGCTGACCTCGCGTCGGCCACCTCTCTTTCCCTATTCTCCTTAGAGTCACGACTACGTCGGTCACGACGATCATCTCCGGACTCCTTCCTTTGACGAGCTTCAGCTCGTCCCTCTACTTCCTTCGTCTCATACTCCTCGAGAGACAAACGCTTGGCCAAAGCCGTGGCCTCTTCCTTCTCCCGAGTCATCTTCTTCGTCGGCGTCACCAACGATTTCTTCTTGTACCGCGACGAATAGTTGCCCACCGCTTCAACGTTTAGCTTACCTATGATAGTAAGAGGCGCTAAAAAAAAATGTATGAGTACGCTCCGACTCCCGAAGAAAAGACAAAATAGGGGCTAGAGAATAGTGCCGAAACCAACCTGGAGTCTTTGAGATTCTCTTTGACTTCAAAGGAACCTTCTTGCGGCTCGTTCCTTTCGATTTCAATGAAGGACGGCGGACCGGATCTTCTTCACCTGACCAAGTATACGGATACAAAGCTAGAATCTTTTGAACGTCGTCGTGAAGCTTCTCGGGGTACGGATCGAAGATCTTGGGACAACGAACTGCAAAAAGAAAGAAACAAGAGAAACAAGTCAAATAAAACTATCAGATAAGAAGGGATCGATCTCGGAGAGATAAGCAAACTACCGGTTGAAACAGTCCACCCATGGTAATTCGTAACCACTACGTCCCCGGAGGACTCGTTGTTAACTTTAACAAAGAAGTACCAACGAAGCCAATCGTTGGTCTTGTTCTTCGCACCGACAACCAACTTTGGGGTCAGCGAAGACTGGGTATACACCAGGCCTGGCTTGGATTTCCCAAAATTCTTCTTCGTCGTCAACTCCTCGTACAGGGAACAACGAGGCTCGACGCCGCACCTCTCCGCTAGACGGATCAGACCGTAGGCATTTCGAATTGCAGCAGGGGATAGTTGCGCAAAAGCCATCGGTCGCCGCGAAGCGTACTGCAAGAGGAAGGCGGGAATCGGGAAGGTCAGCCCACAATCGGTGATATGCTTCTCATAAACGCAGAGATAACCCGGCAGAGCCATCCAAGGTCGATCCGAAGCACTTGGAACCAGTTTGACGAGATTAGCCTGGGCGTCACAGAAGCGTAGCGAAAGCTCGATCGATTCATCCGTCGAAGACGACGAGCGAAGATGATCCGCAACACCAGGCGCCGGACCCCTTGGTTGAGCAGGAACGTCATCCAGACGACTTGGAATCATAGACGCCGCACCGCCAGATGGGCCCGTTCTAGCCAAAGCAGTTTTTCATCTAATTAGCGGGACGTCGTCCTCGTCCGAAAACGCCGCGTTGCTATCCTCATCACGAAGATACATTGTCGTAACAGGTCTGGCAGCGGCGCTTGGCCCGGCAGCTCCTGTTCGGCATAAGAGCTCGCGACGTTGCAACTCCGCGGCATCTGCCAAACTCCTCACAACAGACGACGCCGACGTACTGGAAGACCTAGATCTACGACCCCGGCGACTATCAGGCGACTCGTTCAGAAAGCGATCAACGGATTGGACAGCGGAGTCCTCGGTAGTACGAGACTGACAGTGATCGGAGAAGGAACCCCGGGAACCGGAGCTGGAAGACATTATCGGAAAAAGAAAGCGACGAACAGAAGAAAAGAAGAGAGAGAACAGAGAAAAATACCTTCTGCTGGTACGGAGGAAGAATGAGAGAAATGAGAAGGGGGCAGAATATTTATAGAGGGATTCGGTCGAAGAAACCCGCGTCATCATTACCTCGAATAGCGATGTAATCATCACGTCTTCGCCGCCATTACACGCGAACGATCCGGTTCCCGATGCCTCGAAAGCGGCAATGGGGGAACCAGAAAGAGCGTCTCACACACGCGCCTCGGGAATGCGCAAAGGAAGTTGAAACGAGAACGGCGAAATGATTGCAACCCTAGCCGCGTCACCACTACGCACTAGGGTTGGGGGGCTACTGTTGATGGTGGGTTTTAGGCTTGGGCTCAAAACCCCTTAGCGGGCCCACGATTCTCTACGGCCCAGCAAACCTAAATATCTTGAAATCCAGCAGAAGCCCGAGAAAAGCCCAGGCCACACCTTCCCACCGACCAAAGGGTAAAAGGGACGTTTCGCACGTACAGGGTACCCTACTTTTGTACCCTATAAATAGCAAAAAAGGAACGATTATAGGGGGATCCCGAAATAACCGCTTTCACAGAGAATTTCGTACAACCGTCAGAGCACTTTGCGGCTCAGCTCGTATACTAAGTTCTCAGCTCGTCTATTTTTGTAATCGTCGGCTCGTCATTAAATAAGAGATTCTTCTTTCTCCCTTAAGACTCCGAATACGTACTTGTGTGATTTTGAGGATCAATAAGAGAGCAAACTAATTCGCGTAACAATGAACAAATAAATAAGGGAGTTTCATAACATGCATCGGTGTTGTGTTCTACTGAAGACATTGTGACATTAACTTGTGCATAAGCATTTAATGCGGTGACGTTAACTTGGTAGATCATCGCTTACACATCACAGATTAAATACACATCGCCAAATTAGCTAAGTAAAATATTTCTCGAGTATTTTGTCTTCCACTAGTTATTTGTTTCTTTTCACTTGCCATATAAACACTCACCACTATATTGGGTGACCAAATTATCCATTGAGATTATTATTACATACTAGTTTATAATCATTGACCATACTTGGCCTTGTACTCTCTCCAGAGCTGATTCACGTCCTTTCCAAGCAAATCATTCACTATAACCATTTCTCATCTTCTTGTTCAGCTCGGCCACAAATCCATTCCTCAAATCGTTACAATAATCCAAAAACCTCGCCGTAAAATCATAACCTTGGTCCCATCTATCACCACGACCAGGCCCGACCCAATGACTTGGAGCGTAACCTGCTTTAAGCCTCACGTAATACGCTATCCCTTCGATAAGCCCACCCGGACCGTCCCATTGCCAAGAATGGACCACCTCGTGATAAACAACACCGGTAAATTCCCTCTTTACATCTCCCGATACACCCGCGAGATATCCCGCGTTGAAATGTATCTCGTTTCCCAAGTTCGAGTTGTAGGCCACGCCGTTACCGTTCTCCATGAACAGTGTGATCATTTTAATGTCCCTTCTGTCTGAAGGGTTAGTTTGTTGCAACAAACCCCACACGAAGTCCGTTGCAGATCTCAGTGTTTGTTCGCCATAACTGGCGCCGCCAATCTCTTCCCGGAATTTCCTTCCTCCAGGAGAGTCGCCGGTGGTGTCGACGACTGAGAAGTCTACTGCATTAACCAATGAGATGGCGAGCATTAGAGAGATTACAAGGAAGATTTTGTGACAAGTCATTTTTTTGTTCTTTTGTTGATCTTGTTTGCATCTGTTTAGATTTAGAGGGAGCTTTATATAGAAAATAAATGGAATTATGAACATGGAACGATGAAAAATAATCGAGATACTAGTCAATCGAAGACCTTTCCTTTGGTAGTGGATCCCACAACAATGGTAGACTCATTAATAAGGCCGGCGCAAGTAGACTTGGACGACGACGAGTAACGACCATCATGTGAGTAACGGTAGGGTTAGAGATTGTGGACATCACAGGTGGGAGACAATGGCTTCAACTTTAATTTACGTAACCAAAGATCTATCAAATACAATGATTTTTATAATTAGAAGGATTCGGCCGCAGTTGCGCATAGAGACATACTTGATCTGCTGAAGTCATCCATCAATCTCAAGCAACCAAGCCGGACCTTCACATATTTGTTTTGGTCCACTCCTGCTGTGAACCATACTCAACTGAGAACAATCATAATCAACCTAGGTTTATAGTCCACTCAACCCTCGGTACAATCCATGTTGTATGCAAATAAATCCTAATGATTTTCTCTCATTTGAACTTATAGTTTTAATTGACCCTGTTAGTCTTTTAAAATTTAGAAATACACTATTTCTAAATCAGAATCATATGTTCTATTTATGCTCCTAATTGATGTGGAATTCTACTTATCTTTCCTTTTAGGTTATAAGAGTCCTAGTTTTTTTGGAAGCACTTTTCGACTGAAGATTTGCACTTGTAATGCCATTTCGAGAAGAATACATTTCGTACCGACTTGTAGTATGCAGGTTACCAACAATAAATTAAAAACATATATATCAAATACCCAACATATTAATAATGGTGAAAAGGTTATTCATAAATCATGTCACCAAGAACACTCGTAGTATGCTTAAAGAGGACCACTATATTGTTGGAGAATGGATATCGGCTTCAATGGTTGGAAGAAAAAATGAGTGGTAGATTCTTATACTCTATGTTGCATGGAAACGGAAACGGAAACGCGGAAGCGAAACGTTTCGGAAACGAAAAACGATTTTTTCTAAAATTAAGGATTGGAAACGTTTTGGAAACGTACACACATACACACACATATATAACACTAACATAAAACTATATTATAGATAAAATGGTTTAAACAATACAAGTCCAAAATATCAATATGAAATAGGTTAACCTAAAATACTAAAAGATAAAGATTAAAAAGTTCAAGTTCAAATATTTAATTTATACCTATTTTCATTCTATTTTCATTAGTTTCACCAAAGATCATATAAAGATGTCTCCAAATCTGGTTTGTCGAGAGAATGATCTTAAAACTCAGAGTTTCCAAAATTAGTTATATGTATTATAAATCTTAATATTTCCAATCTTTATTTATTAAGTTTCCAAAGTCAATAAAAACGATTTGTCGCGTTTCCATTTTAGAAACGTGAGTTTCCATCGTGTTTCCAAACATAAATTTTAGGAAACGCGTTTCCGTGACGTTTTTGGTGCTTCCGAAGAGTTTCTGATTCCGAAACGTTTTGGAAACGGGAAACGGACCTTTAAGAGAGTTTCCATGCAACATAGCTTATACTGTGAAGAAGTATTCATATATATTTTTTTTCTTCTAAATGAATGATTCATTATCTTGATAATACTAACAAATGATTTTATTTGTTATAAAAAAAAGCAAAAAAAAAAAACAAATGAATTTATTTTCAAAGCTACATTTAATAAATCAATGCACAAAATTTCACTTAAATTGTCAATAACCTTTCGATAGTAATGTATATGACTTTTCCAATTGAAACTTACAACACCATAAGAGAATACGAATAGATGGCAAAGGCTTATTTATTTATTTATTAAACGTTCTATTTAATTTTGAAGACCAAATTATTCATTGAGATTATTATTACATAACCCAAATTATTAATATTATTAGATAATTATATAAAAATAAAAATAACATGGCTCTATATGTATTGTGTATGCGTGTAGTGTGCCGTGGTTAGTCTATAACATTTATTTATTGATGGGGCGTTGGCCATTCGGTGTACTGGTACGTAAGTATTAATATGTTACCATCGCCATATCCTAAGGCATTTTTTGTGACAGTTTCTCAAACCACTTGTCACTGTTGTTTCCATCGTGACTGCCACTCTGTCAATAGCCATTTAGCCACTGATATTTCTTGCCATCCTTAGAAACTGGGCTACTAGCTATATCAGTGTTAAATCTATGGATATAATCCGTGGCCGCTTTGCAACCAAACCAGTTTAGCCATATACTAACATTGACAAAATTTGTGGCCATCTATGACCAAACTAAATTTAGCCACATAAGGGTTAGAGCAAAAAACATTCCGCGGCCAATTCTTTGTTTTCTTGAAATGACGATTATCTAAAGAAAATTCAGTATCCTCCATCAAGTCTTATTACTTAAAGAAGTACCCAAACAAAGGTATCAAAGATAGCAACACACATTCAATGCAAACTCTTTAAAGAACAAACATAAGACTAAAATGTTCATATAAAACAAAAACATAAGATATGTCAACAAAATTAAACAAGATAAGATACTTTAGACTATTAATTATTCCCTCCGTTTTGTTTTAGTTGTCGTTTTAGGACTTAAATTTTTGTTTCGTTTTAGTTGTCGTTTTAGATTTTCAAGCAAATATTTTGTAAAAATTCCAGTATTATCCCTATTATTTTAATGTTGTGGTCAATGAAATTTTTTATAAAATATATTAATAAAGGATAAAACAGAAAATTTAATGTTTTTCTTAATTTGTGTGAAAAAACTTTAAACGACAACTAAAACGAAACGGAGGGAGTAATTAATTAGCCATAAGGGCCTAACCATAAAATTTAATATCAAGCTCAACCTTAACTATTAGCCATAAGGGCTTAACCATAAAATTAAATATCAATCTCAACCATAAAATTAATTTTTGTAAATACAGTATATCAGTTTTACATCTATCGATTTAATCCGTGATCGCTTTGCAAACAGTTTGGCCACATATTACCACTGACAAAATTTGTGGTTAGAGCCAAAAACATTCAGTGACCAATTCTCTGTTCTCTTGAAATGACTCTTATGTAAAGAAAATTCAGTATCATCCATCACTTCTTACTTAAAACAAGTACCAAAAACAAATCTACCAAATAGACAACAACAAATATTCAATGCAAACTCTTTAAAGAACAAACATAGGATAAAATGTCAATCAAAATAAACAAGATAAGATAGTTTGGACTCTTAACCATAAAATTAAATATCAATCTCAACCGGATATCTATCCATACAGTCTTCCCATGGACTGTTAGCTGAAGGCTTAACGTTGCGTAGAGCCACCCAGACAGAACTGTTACACTTAAAACCTGACCCCAAAGCAATCTGCCAAATTCTATCTCCTTCCTTCATCCTTCCTTTAGCTTCTGTATAAGCCAACTCGTACCATATTGAGCTAGAAGAAGTGTTACCAAACCTGTGTAGTGTCATTCTTGACGCCTCTACGTGTAACGGAGAAAGCTTAAGATTCTTCTCTAGCTCATCTATTAGAGCTCTTCCACCAGCGTGGATACAGAAATGCTCAAAGGCAAGTTTGAAATCTGGTGTATAGTTCCTTAACTCTGGCTTGAAATACTTCTTCTTGACAAAAGTAATGAAGAAGGCAAGCTTCTCTTTCAGTGGAAGAACAAGAGGACCCAAAGTTGCAATATTGATCTTAAGAGTCCTTGCAGCCACCATAGGTAGATTCTTTGTCAAGGTAACTCCAATTATACCATCTTCATCTTCTTCTTGTGTTGCACACTCGAAAGACCTATCATCTGATCCGGTATGGATCCGCACCGTGTGAACAAGCTCGTATTTTGCACGTTTACGGTCTCTAGATCTGTTTGAAAGCAGAACCGCAGCACCACCAACCCGGAACAAACAGTTTGTGACTAGCATTGATTTGTTTTTCCCCAAGTACAAGTTTTGAGTGATGTTTTCTGTGCTAACTACAATAGCATAAGTGTTCCTATGAACTTGTAGTAATCCCTTAGCGACATCAACAGCTATAACTCCAGCACTGCAACCCATTCCTCCAAGATTCAAACTCTTGATGTTGTCTCTGAGTTTGTACTTGTTCACAATCATGGAAGCGAGTGATGGAGTTGGATTAAACGTGCTAGAATTCACCACCAAGATACCGATATCATCAGGTTTTACACCGGTGTTGCGAAAAAGATTATCAAGAGCTCCGAATATTACTTCTTCAGTCTCTTTACGTGAAGCCCCCATGTCTTGCTGAAGTGGGAAGCACTGAAGACCCTCGGGGATGTATGTTTCTTGACCAAGACCAGAACGTTCAAGAATCTTCTCTTGGAAGTCAACTAAATGGTCGCTCTCTTTGTTCTTCCAACACATGCCTGCTTCTCTTGCACGTCTTGCGTGTCCCATTAGAGTTTGGATACTAACTTTGAGATGCGACGGTGGGAGGTAGCAGGAGAAGTCAACAAGGTAAACGGGTTTAGGACGGGTTAACATGTAGAGGATCCACACAAAACCGACAAGAAACGAGAGAAGGCTTATGGTTTGGAGGTTGTTTTGTATATGGTGGAGGAAGAAGTTTTGGAGATCTTCTAAGTTGATCCAAGATCCTTTCATGGCTAATCCTACCATTAAAGAGATGAAGAAGATCTTGAAGAAAACCATATTTAAGTTCTTCATTGGATATAACCTAAGAGTAGAAAGAAGAGGACAAAAAAAGTCTTGTTTAAGTGTTTACTCTTTGGTCCTATTTTAAGTTGTGTCCGTGACATTTGGTTCTAGCTGGCTTGGTTTACATATATAGAAAATTGAGTGTGAATCGAGAGAGTGATGACCAAACGTATTAATTATTCTTGCTCCGCGTTGTATAAGATATTTTTATTTTATTTTTTAATTGCTTTCAGTTTCAGAAGTGAAGAAAAAATATCAGAACAAATTCTTAAATCCGAGAAAATGATATAATTGGCACGCACTTATTACACTTGAAACTTGAATTCAAACACTTAAACTACGTATACTTTGTGGGCTTAAATTTTCTTGTTCTATGAATATTACAGTACTCAAGTACTCAACAGAAATCAGAAATTAAGTACTTTGTTTTTGTTCTGAAAATTATTCTTTTCTCTAGGGGACATAAACGTTGACAAATGCTCATTATTTAGATATATACATATATGTATGTAAGCAAACATAATTCAGTACCAAAAGAAAAAAAAATGAAAATGAAGCCGCACCTATTTTTTGTCGTGGTTCTTTGAATTATTACCAAAGAAACAGTATGTTTAGATAATGCTATATTTATGGAGTATCTACCCACATTCATGAGTAATAAATAGGAGTGACGAAACAATCAACTACCTCATTTTACTGCTGTCCGTATACTTCTAACTATGTGCTTCGAATATCATAAACATGCCATTACAAGGTAACGTAGCCGTATCTAGTGGTAGTTTTTAATCTCGGTTATTGTGGCCTTGTAGGGTGGGTTTTTATTCTATGTTTGAAACACACATAATTGAAAATATTACCACAACTTTTGTTGTATATTTGTATATGGTGAATTTCAGATGAATCTTCAATTCAGCTTCTTATATTCCTCAAACCATTTATGTACCCATATTCTCATTTATTAAGCAACACACAATAAGAAGTCAGGAAATTTATTTCCTTTTAAAAACCATAACCTTATAAATTTAAGATATATTTTAATACTAATAAATTTTGATTAAGTAGCACATATATTCTATTTAATACTGAAACTAATTAAATAATTTCGAAAAGAAAATTATCATTGAAATTATATTAAATGGAAATGATGTATTTTATGGCAGAAATTTTTAGTTGAGCTCTAATAACATTTTAGAATAAACTATGAAATTTTTGGGCAATTCTCACAAATAGCAAAAAATTAAGTTTTGTTACCAAATTTAGCACAGTCTCCAAAGTTGAAAAAATAGCACAAATTTAATATTAAAAAGACTAATACAAACATTTGATTGACGTTTCACACAATCGTATTATAATCATGATTTCAAATTATAATTAGTTTTATTATTTTACATAATTAGATAAGGGTAAAATAGTTATTGTGTAAACTCAATAATGTTGATTTTTTTGAATAACTATGAAGTGTGTGCTATAATTGTCTATAAAATTTTTTTTTTGATAATATTTTTTTCAGCTTCATTAATAAAAAAAATGTGATTTACGAATGGTTTATATACAAGACTTAAGTAGTGAAATATAGCTAATTAATAAGCAGTATAATAAACCGCTATATTCAACTCTAAAATACACTTTTTACCTAAGTTTCACAAAACTCGCTCAAAATATTATCATTCATACAAGATAAAGAATCAATTATGGATTAATTTTTTGGGATGACATTTGTGGATTTTGCCCTTTTTTGAATAGTTTATAGATTTTGCCTTTTTTCAGGCTACGAAAATATGATTTAACATGCATTTTATTCGTTATGTTCGGGTTTAGTCGGTTGTGGTTGTTCTTAGGGTTTAGTATTTTGTATAAACTACGTATTTTTACCAAAAAAAATCCGAAATACGTATATTTTTAAGTGTTAGAAAATGGCATATCCGTAAAATTTTAGTAAAAATGGCAATTTCAAAAAAATTTTATGAAAAATAGCAAAATCAACAATATTCCCCAAGATAAAAGATATATTCAACAATGCCATAAATTATGGTTGCATAAAAGATAAATTATTCAATGTACTGTACCTAGCGACTCAAGTAGACCCAATATCTTTTATGGCGTTCCAAAATAGTCGGTTAAGATCGCTGGGCTCTGTGCAGATCTCGATGGCCATACAGGCAGTGGTATGGTTGAAGGAAAAAAAAATAACCTTTGTCGTAAATTATAACTAATGATTCAGCCTACACATGTGATCAACTAATTAAAATACTAAAAAAAAACCTAATTAAAATACCCTCAAGATGGGTATATTATATAAGTTGCAATCCATTAATTTATAAGGTTTTATATATTTTTGGGAGACTCACAAAAATGTTCCTTTTTCAATACTCATTTTCAAAAATATCCCCTTTGGCTGTCAATTTTTAAAAATACCCCTTTTTATGTACAAAATGACTAAATTACCCTTCTATTAATAAAAGATATCACAAATATATAAGGAACACACGAGAATGTGCAAACATCAAAATTACAAATTTGATTTTGTAAAAACTTGTAAAACTTTTAAAATACCTTGTAAAATATTCCGGTAAAATTTTTTCCCGCCAAAAATTTTTTTTTGCGGGAAAAGTGATTCCGCAATTTTTTTGGCGTTAAATTTTTGGCGGGAAAAATTTACAAGGTATTTTAAAGGTTTTATTTTTATAGGGTATTTATAAGGTTTTACAATGTATTTTAAAAGGTTTTACAACGTATTTATAAGGTATTTATAAGATATTATAAGATTTTACAAGCTATTTTATAAGGTTTTACAAGTTTTTTATAAGGTTTTACAAGTTATAAATACCTTATAAAATCTTATAAGTACCTTGTAAAACTTTTTAAAATACATTGCTAAAACCTTATAAAATAGCTTGTAAAATCTTATAATACCTTATAAAACCCTATACAAGTTATAAATACCTTATAAAATCTTATAAGTACCTTGTAAAAGCTTTTTAAAATACATTGGTAAAACCTTATAAAATAGCTTGTAAAATCTTATAATACCTTATGAAACCCTATACAAGTTATAAATACCTTATAAAACCTTATATGTACCTTGTAAAACCTTTTAAAATACATTATAAAACCTTACAAAACACTTGTAAATACTCTGTAAAATCTTTAAAATACCTTGTAAATTTTTCTCGCCAAAAAATTGCGGAATCACTTTTCCCGAAAAAAAAAAATTTTGGCGGGAAAATTGCGGGATTACGTTTCCCGCCAAAAATTTGCGGGATCACTTTTCCCGCCAAAAAATATTTTGTATTTTGTGGACCTAATTTTGTTTCAAATAAGGTAAAATGGTCATTAAAAATTAAAAGAGGGCAAACTTAAAAATTGACTCTCAAAGGAGGCATTTTTGAAAAGGAGTATTGAAAAAGGGACATTTTAACAATTTCTCTATATTTTAATAAGATTTCAATATCTTATCTAGCTAAAATACATTTGCTTAAAAAACAAAAAAATATAGGTAAAGTACATAAAATTAACTAATCTTACGGTTTTACCGCAGTCCCTGAAAACTTAAAGTGATGTAAAAAGACCCATGAAAAGTAGATTAAGAATTTAACTCATTCAACATTTGTATACACTTCAAACTTTTAAAAAATAACCAATTAGTGCCGGTAAAGCGAATTTTACTATGTGAATCGAAACAAAGATTTCATATACTTTTGCTCAAAAAAAAAAAAAAAGATTTCATATACTTTTGATAATTTCATACCATTTTGAAATATAAAGTACAATCAACATTAAATGATGTTTTACCCATTTTTAGGCATTGAGATCTTTTTCTTTTTTAAAATCAGGCAGAGAAAAAAAATACTTACGAAAAAAAGAAACAATTTACTTTATTTGCTACCAATATTGCTCATTTATGTTGATAAAGACGTTAGGTGTGACGTCTGAGGAAATTAAAGATTACAAAATCATAGTACAAGGTTTAGCCATCGTATTAAAAACTTTAATTATAGGCCTGAGTGCTATCCAGAAAAAATGGAGCCTCCTAGACTCAGGCACAGCTTTCAATAACATTTTAAATTTCCTACCACAGTTAGGTTGACGTTGATTGGTTTTAATGATTCTTTCAATGCGATTAGAATAATGAAAACATGTACACCAAAACAATTTACACTTTTACTATAGATTAGTATTGGATATATTAAATGTTCAGATATATTATTATTTCTAATCTATATATAATAGCAATCTCAATAAATGATTTTTTCACATCTGAATGGTTGTATCTTTTATCTTAATTTTTCGTTAAATTTTTTTAAAACTAAAATATATATTTTACGGTTATGGCTTTTTTTTTAAAATTACAATCAGAACGTCTTCTGCAAGCGCAACTTTTAATTATAACTCTTCATAAATAGTTGGAACCTCTTATTGTAATTATTGTAATATTTAGTTTACACGAACAATTGCAACATTTAATTTATATATTTAGTTTATATCATAAACAATTGCAACCTTTGATTTATATATTTAGTTTATTTCACGAACGATTGCAACATTTGATTTATATATTTTAGTTTATTTCACGAACAATTGCAACCGTTGCTTTACTTTATAAATCGCTATAACATCTAATCTTCCGTCGTGTCTCTCGGTATAACTTTCATATATTAATATTTTTAATTTTTAATTACCAAAATGTATTTAATGAGATTGTAATAGTTTAATTGAACCGTTGAAACATTTAGTTTATTTGACCAATCATTGCAACTTTTGGTTTTGTTTTACGAACCATTGTAATATTTAGTTTATTTGACGAACTTGACCAACCGTTCCAACTTTTGGTATATCGCAACATTTCGTTTATTTTTTTAAATTAAAAAAATTAATTTTACGTTATGTTTTTTGAGAAAGTTGCAATCCGAGTAAATGTTTTTTACAGTTGCATCTCTTTATCGTAACTTTTCGTAAAACGGTTGCAACCGTTTATTTGAAACATTACAAAATTTAGTTTATTTCATGAAAAATTACAACTTTAAGTTTATTTTATAAATCGTTATAACATTTAATCATCTAGCGTCGGTGTAACTTTTTCTAAATTATTATTTTAATTTTTAATTTTTAATT